GGAAACTCCCACTAGGTTTATATCTGGGACTCTCCACCATTTGACCTTAGAACTGAAGAAGCTTCTCGGATGAGAGGTGAAACGTCTTCAAGCAACCTAAAGAAGTCCAGACGCTTTTCTTTGCAAGCTCCTTTGACTACGATGACCTGGATGACTGAGAACCTTCACAGACATGTTAAATGGAAACCTTCACTTCATTATGCGTGTTCATCTGCCAAGCACAGACTGAAGCAGCTGCTAACAGGAACACAGGCACGTGTTTCCAGCCGAGCCCTCCACATCCAGCTTTGCTGCAGAGAAACATGCTAGCGAATGATCAGGGGTCCTGTTTACCCCCCACCATGTTTCACTGTAGGGCTCTAGCCCTGCAGTTCCTCTAACGTCCAGCAGAGGCAGCAGTGAGTCAGTCCCCATAGACTCCCATGTTAAAGCTTCACCAGAAATAAACAGACTGGTCTCTGTGGATCGTTTCTCCTTCATAACAGCTGTACAGGGAGGATGTTTTTATAACTCACCTGTTTAAAGTTTGCATTATTAGGGGCGTGGCCTCTGGACGTGTTTGTGCTGTTGGAGCTCTTTGGGTTATATTTGATGTGCGCTCTCTGCTACATGTTTGTTTCATTGAAAAAATGTTTGTAAGTTTTTACTGTGACTGCGGCTCAGAGGGAGCCTGATGGTTTCAGTCAGGTAGACGACAGTGAGGTCCTGAACAACAGGAATAAGTAGGAAACTGTGAATCTGCCATCCTTTGGTACTTCAGAGATTTTTTAAGTTTGCTTTGGTTTAAGCCAATAAAACGATCGTGTGCTGTTATGAAGTGTTAAACAGAGGAGCTTATTATCAGGGGCTCACATGTCCTCGGTTCCCATGACGCTCCTCAGGTGTAACCCTCGCTCTGTCCTGTTTCAGAGGCCGAAGCCAGAGTGACTGTGGGAGATCGTCCTCCCTGCTCGAGGCCGGAGCAGGGCCAGCTGTGGTTCAATGCTCAGGGGAAGGGTCTGTTCATCTGTGACGGGCTGAGCTGGAGGACACTGCTGCAAAGTGAGTCTGGACGTACACAGGAAGTACCTCTCACACCTCAGACATGTCAGGGTCATGTGACTAAAACACATTATATTAGGAGGGTGATTTTACTCTGTGTTAGGAGGTGCTCATTTTATTGCATAAATCTTTACATCACAAACGTTGTTTTAAATAGACATGATGCCAAATCTGTATGTAAGAAATTAGAAATGATGATTTTAAACAGTTCAGGTTTTTAAAAAAGCTCCTCTGGAACCAAACCAGAAAGGAACACATTGTTATGATTTTAGAGGATCTGGTATAATATTAACTTGTCTGCTGTAAAGAGAAGAGTAAACTTTTCCTGAGTTGCTGTTGCGGGTGGAGCAGACTGTAGGAGGGTTCATGTGAACGTAGCGCTGGGATGGGGCTGGTTTGACGATGATGCCATGTGCCTGCGATGTGTCTGTCCATGTAAGCTGTATCACCTGTTTGTGCAGGTAAGCAGCGTCTGGATTACGTGGAGGACTACCAGGACCTGTACACCCGCTCAGAGACCCTGGACGTCGAGGTCTTCTCCATCCCGTCTGAGGGCCTGTTCATGGCTGCAGCCAACAAGTAATAACACGGCAGCAGAAACACAGCTGTGGACAAGACTCTGTCCTCTCAGTCTAACACTCGTGTCTCCCTTGGCAGGGACTCTCGGTCCGGCTCAGGTATCTACAGGTGGACCAACGCCTCCTTCCAGCTCTACCAGAACATCAGCACTCAGGAGGCTCGATCCTGGAAACACTTCACCATCGACAACAAGGTGAGGGCCTCCAACATGGACGAGGAGTACAAGGAGCTCAGCACAAAGCCGTGGGCTTAGCTCCGCCCACGGCCTACGAGCAGCCAGCACCGTGCTGCTGTGACTGATGCACGACACGAGCTCCCACTGTCACTGCGACAGTCACGGATCGTTGTATGTTCTGTGTGTCGTGTGTTTTGTATAGATGAGCGTCAGCTGACGACGTAAACATGCTGACAACAGAGAGAAGTTATAGCTAATCGCTAACTGTCCTTCTGTTGGCTGTTACCATAGAAACTAAATGTCTTTGTGCCATCATGCGATTTATTGTTGGATAAAATCAATACTGTCTGACATCACACTCGTGTGCGGTCCTTGGCGTGGACGTCGGTGGACGAAGCAGCTTGTTTCTGTCACAGACAGAAAACACAAAGTGCCATCAGGCCAGAGGGATCAGATCTAATCAAGCGAAACAGGCAGAACATTTAAAACATGATTAATAAATCCGGTGTGATGGTGGTGCAGCTGAGAGTCGTGGAGTGGATGGAGCTCAGAGGGCGGAGGACAGGAGGACAAACAGATCTGAGGCTGATTCTCTTTGAACCCTTGTGTGCACATTGTGTTGGCCTTGTTTGCACAGTGTGTGACACACACACACAGCTGTGTGCAGGTATTGTGCTGCAGGTATTCAGTCCTGTTAACTCAGAGAAGTGTGTAAAGGAACAGTCTCTGCAGAGGTCAGAGGTCACTGCAGCGCACACAGACTTCTGTGAGTCGTCGTTCAGTGAAAGCTGAGCAGGGCCGCTCGGCGCTGTGATGTTAAACCAAATCCATCTCCGTGTTTCTGTCCTTCAGATTTTTCTCGTGGTGGCGGCAAACTTCAGAGAGGCGGGGTCTGAGCGGTCTGTCATCTATCAGTGGCATCGGCGGCGGCGGCGTTTCGTCCGTTATCAGACTCTGGAGACTCACACTGCCCAGGACTGGGAGGCCTTTCGCATTCACAATCACAGCTTCCTGGTCGTGGCCAATCACAGACGAGGTAAACAGGAAGTGGACTGTAATGCAGTCTTTTTCATTTTAAATGAATGGATCACTGCAGCTGCTGGGGCATCACACAAAACCAGGATAAGAGCTCATTGTTGTCTCCACAGGAGAACATCATCAGGCCACGAGGTAATCAAAATTTAAAAATAATAAATGGAGAGTGGCGTCGGCTCTTTGTGCCCCGAGATGTCCCTCTCCTGCAGTCTGTGAGGCCAACGAAGCATTTCATGCATAAAAATGCTGCAAACAGAACCTTTAATAAAACTTTTCTTTTTATTTCCAGATCAAAGATGAACTTTCAGGATCAAACGTTCCTGATCGGCAGTATTTATTCGTTCAATTTGATTGTCCTTCATGTTCAGGGTATTTTCCGCAGTGAAGGAAGTATCTGAGTTTAACGAGTCTCTGCAGCGGGATGAGGAGCTCCAGAGCAGCCGGTCGTTTCTGATGGGTTTAAAGGTTAAAACGAGGCTTTTTGATGATGGAGATACGAGGTTTCCACCTGACCAAACAGGAGCTTTGAAGAGCTCGTATCTCCTCGTCAGTGTAAACACTTCAAACACATTCATGTGTGCACTTCCTGTAAAGATAAAACACTCCTGAGGCTGAGGCTGTGCAGGTGTACTGTGGTTAGATCACACACCTCTGTGCGCCGTCTCTCTGTTTGAGCTTGTGTTTATTCTGAATGATGGTGAAGTCACAGCGCACCGGCCGAAATCACCTCAGCACCAACACGTTCGATATAAATGGGCCAACTTTGATTTTCTGTCCTCTTTATCTGCTAAATACATGAAACGAGCAAAAACTGGCAGATTATGAAGGGACTTTTGTGCCGGGTAAATAATTAGCTGCTAGCAGGCTGTGAAAACTCAGACGGGATATTTTAAAGATTCATTAATGGTTCAAACTTCTGCATTTACAAGAATATTTTAATGTCTTTATTTAAAAACAGGTCGTCTGCAGTCGTGTCTCCAACCAAACTATCCAAACTTACTCAAATACATTTGTGTTGTAGAAAAAAGTCAACTCAGATGAAATGATTTTGAATGAGACTTTATTCGAGTCACAGGTCTGATCATCACCGCCATGACTGTTTTAACCATTTAGGAATTTCTTTCCTTCATTTTCACAGAACTCAAACTGTAACTGGACAAACCAGGATCACTAAACACGTGGATTATTTTCACTTCATGGATGCTAATCCCTCTCACAAACGTGCATCCAGGAAACCTCCGGTCTGCATGCAGAGAACTTTAAAGTGGGCAGGTTTAGGCCTGCAGGTACCTCCATGAGTACTGACACACACCCTTCAGATAGCATCAACGACAAACTTTAATATGGCAATGTCTGTGCACGACTCAGCTTTTAACACGTGGAAAACAAACAGTGACAGAGCTCTGAGAGCTCCATATCGAGGGTGAAGGTTAGAAACTCGTCTCAACCGTAAACCAAACAGTTTGGTCAAACATGTTATTTGTCCGTCGTCATCTCTACCTGTTAGTCTGTGGGTAAAATACCTGAAACAGAAACTGAATGAGGTTGTGTCTTTGCACCAAGCACAGTCCAAACCATCAGTCTGTTCTATCACAGCCACAGTGATTCGCAGACCTGTGTTTTTCTGAGCATTTGGTAGCTGGACGGTCCTGCAGATCAGAGTCCATCATCTTAGTCACTCCAAGGTTGATCCTGAAGATAATCTGGTGTTGGTCAGGTACAAAAAACAAATAGAGACTCAGTTCCAGGGTTTTGTAGAGATGTAATCAGATTACATGAAGGTGTGAGATGCAGCTGACGGTGATTCCCTTTTATTGAGGCTAATCTCCGTGGAGATTTCATGTGATGGGTTTTGTGTTTCTCGTTGTTAGACGACTCGTTCTTCTAAGCTGGATGCACTTCTCTGGCTTTACTCTGTGATCACATGGACGAGAACTGAAGTGTCGAAATCATGTCAATGTGTCCCTGTGTGTCCTCAGAAAGAGACTCCAACCACAACATCCACAGTGTGATCTACAGGTGGAACCCCGACACAAAGGTGCTGCTGTTCAGTCACAACATGAGATCTCCTGTCCTGTCCTTTATAGATGCTTCTGATCGTCTCTGTCCTCGTGTTTTCGGTCCTAACCCGTCCCTCCTGTCTCTGCAGCTATTTGAGGTGAACCAGACTCTGCTGACGTCCGGAGCCTACGACTGGGAGTTCTTTACTGTGGGGCCGTACCACTTTTTGGTGGTGGCCAACACCTTTGACGGTCGAACCACCATCATCAGCTCCACCATCTACGTCTGGCTGGATGGTTCTTTCCAGACCTTCCAGAGCATCCAGGTCAGTGTTTGTCTGTCTTTCAGGGTCTCCCCACCGTCGGCTTTCGTAAACCTTTTACCTTCCTGGTCTGAAATGTTACACCAAAGAGGAAGTGCACTAACATTGAATGGCCAGCAGGGGGCGACTCCTCTGGTTGTCTGGGAGTGTCCTGCTCAGCTGACTCGAGCTCAGTGAATGTTTCCCTCATGTTTCAGCTGTAAATGAAACATGAAGCTCATTTTGGAAACTATCGTCCAGTTACAGTCACAGAGGACAGCAACATAGGGTTTGGTCATTGGTGAGTTATTAGCCAATGAGAATGCAGCATCGGTCAGTTTCAGAGTCAGATCTACTGCACACCAGGGACCTCTGGTTTTAAACACGGTGACAGCAATAACGTTCAGTTTGTGGCTTCGCAGCATGACCTCACTAACCAGCGGTGATGTCACATCCTTCTTTTATATACAGTTAGTTTTCTAGCACTGATGCAGCGACCAGCGGGTGACTGTAGATGACTGACAGTGAAAGCATGTTCACAAAGCAGGCTGGACTCAGCTGTGAGGCTCGTGGTTGGTTAAACCCTCCTCCAAAGATGTTTCCTGAACATGAAGTCATCTGTACTCAGTAATCTGCCTGCTTGTTGACCTCCGGCTGTTTGCATCATTAATAAAACCGACGCGTTCGCTCGTCCTGCTGTTCATCAGCTCTGGTCACGTGCAGCACGTCTTTAAGCTCAGGTGTGTCAGCTGAGGATCAGGGCGTTTTCACAGAGTAATCCAAACCAGCAGCAGATTAATTAATCTGTTTGCATTAGCCTAACCACAGCTCTGCAGCTAACCACCGTGGTGTGTCATCTTTACTATCTCGCTAACTTCCTGCTAACATGGATGTTGAACATTATTGTAACAGCTGTGAGAACAGCCCCACCGATCTCTTTATTCTTAACTCCCAGGATTCGAGTAAATGCACCGATTACTAAGATTGAGTTGTTAAATCTGCAGGACCTGTCAGCAGGTCAAGGTGATGAACATGAGAAACATAGATCTGATTGATTATGGAGATTATCAGTATAACTGTAGATTGTTTTATTTGATAGAATTACAGACAAGAACATTTAAAAATGAGACTTTATTTTTATTTCTATTTTTAATGAAGCAGGAAGTCCTGAGATGCTGCGTCTCCTGTCTGGCAGACCTGGACACGTGACAGACGTAGCTTCTTCGCACATGAATGATTTATGACAAACATTTCAGAAGAAAGATATTTTTTCTCATATCTATTAAGTTCTGTCACATAATGATCTTTTTCATTGATGAATTAAACTTTTTTTATTATCTGGGATCGTTTAATCATCCTACATATTGAAACTCAGCGATATGAGCCAAACTTTAAAGGATTATTTTATTGTGACACTGAACTCGCGGACAGTGAAACATGTCCGCTCACATTTATTCTCACAGGATTGTTTCATCTTGTGCGTCCTCTTCAGAGGATGAACTCGGGACAGCGCCCCCCTCAGGATGTTTTTAGCTGGGGCGGTGCTGCTTACCAGTCCAGGTGAGTCCTGGCAGATGTCAGAGCAGACATGACAATGAGGATGTTGTCAGTGAGTCACATGATAACAGCAGCGGCGTGACGCTGCCCGACCGCAAATCACAGGCTGGTAAAAATACCACGCTGACTCACAGCTTCAGGGAAACACCTTGCTCTCAGCCGGGCTCTGATTGGTGCAGGTGTGCCTCTGCAGGTAAACGCTGTTTTCCAGCCACACTTGATATTTCTGTGTTTTTGCCCCTTAATTTCTGAGCTTCAGTGTTTTTTTGGTCGTCGTTGATCCCGGATCACAGGAGCGCGTTGCAGGGTGTTTGGATCGTCCTCACCTCGCGTACTCTGGATTATGGTGGATGTATCCATTGTGACATCACGCTCTCTGAAGCCTCCGTTTTAGCCTCATTTAGCTATTTTTTGGAAAAATTTACCATATTTGGAAGAGTGTGAGTAATCAGCTAACATCCAATCAAAATGCTCAAATTTCTCTCACCAAACTGCCGCTCCGCCTTCCTGGACGGTCTGTTAGTACAGCCATGTTACTGGTCACATGATGTCAACACGGTGCAGAGGTCCAGTTCAGGTGAAGCTAGCAGCTACAGCCGCCTGTGTCGCCATCCACCGGTCGGTCAAACAGGCCCCGCCCCTAATATCTGCAGGGTCTTGGAGCTTCAGTGTTGTTAGCGTGATCTCAGGTTCACCTGGAGCTGACTTACTCTCACACCTACCTGCTGCCATTACTCTCGACCCCGCTCTGAGTTGTTTTAGCTCCTCCTCCCCAGAACCCGTCGCATCATTCGCTCCTGCAGTGACAACAACCAAAGATAACGGTCTTATTAAAGTCAGTGTGTGGGGTTTCAGGGTGAAGGTGGTGATGATGATGCGCGCTGTGTACCTGCAGCCTGGCAAACAGCGATGCCTGCACAGACGCAGCTGCTTGTTTAAAACATTAATGTGGTGACAGATGTGCACATGAAAGCAGGTCATAAAAATCATCTTACGCTGATGAAAATATGTTTTTCAGTCTGTTGATGTCAAAGATGAAACAGGAAACCAGAGCAGTGTAATTAATGTGTGTGTGCGAGGGGGTTTCCAGCTGCGCTGAAGAAGACTTTTATTGCTTCTGAAAACCACAAAAACATGTTAAAGCATCATGAAACCACCTGAACCTGTAATTCAGCTGCTGACAGCCGGCACAGCACGCATTAAACTGCTCAGACATCAACACGACTAATGGAGCCGCAAATAGCTCCAATCAGACCCAGCCAGACCTCGCCAGCTCCCCCTGCAGGCTGCACGAGCCGCTGCACACAGGCAGCACGAAGCAGAGCGTTTCATAGTCTCACAGTAACGCATAAAGCACTGAATTATGACTTCATTTAAAAGCTGCCTCCTTAGTTCATTGTGATGTGTCAGTGAATCCCAAAGTCCACCAGACGCTCCCCGGGCCCGGCCTGAGATGGGCTTCCTCTGAAGGGTGGCTGGCCTCGCCCTTAGAGAGGGAGGGGCTCAGAGTTAAGCCGCTGCTCCTTCACATCGAAAGCAGTCAGTCGAGGTGGTTTGAACATCTGACAAGGACGCCTCCTGGGTGAGGCCCCGGGGCAGACCCAGGACACGCTGGAGAGATTATATCTCTCGGCTGGCCTGGGAACACCGTGGTGTTCCCTGGCACAAGCTGGAGGAGGTGGCTGGGGAGAGGGAGGTCTGGGCTTCTCTGCTTGGGCTGCTGCCGTGGATAAGTGGAAGAAAATGGATGGATCAGTGTGTACAGTGAGCCCAACGCTCACAAGCAGTGATGGAGTCGTTACTCTATTCAAAGTAATAGATTACACAGTGCTCATTGGTGTTTTAAATGATAGAAGGCTCATCCTCGCAGTCAGACGAGTTCTTCTTTCCCACATACGTCTGACATTCATGCAAACACACTTGTTCACCCACCCGAGTGGAGGCAGCAGGGATGAAAACACCTACTTTCAACTGATGCTTTTCCCTGTGACTGATCCTGGTCACACTTACTGCACATGAGCTGGAATCTTCATCTAACCCTAACAGCAGTGTGCGCTAAGCTTCTTTGCAGTGCAGATTTTCCTCTTCTCCTCCTGCCCAGCAGCTTCATCATCCTCGTCCCGTATATCCACTCTTCCTCCTCTGCACGTGTCCAAACCGCCTCAGCCTCTGACTCTCAGCTGTTCCTCTGATGGACTCATTTCTCATCCTAATGACGTGAGCTGTGTGTTCACACTGTCACCAGTTAACGTTATAAATCTGAGGCTGTCACACATCCGTCTCCTGCCGAGGACACAGACCCAGTTTCCTTTACCGTTTAAGCAGAGGGAGTGAAAACCAGCCCAGTCCGATCACACAGGGATCCAGGTAGACACGGAGGCCATGATGCTCCGGTTACCTCCTGACGATCAGGCAGCTGGGTCTGCTTGCACTCAGCTTTAGCGTCACTCTGGTTCTTGCGTGTTGTTTTCCATCTCCTCTGGCTTCTGTGAGTTTTGAAAACAGAGCGTGTTGTGGTTGTTTTCTCCAAGTTTAGCCAATCAGCATCCACCATGCCAAGGAGAAGTTCTTCTTTCTCCACTAAAAGCAGCGTTGAAGGGACTCCTGCAGTCAAAGCCCCTCCCACCAAGTGTAGGATTATGAGAGGGTTACCCTTCGTACCCTGGTTCTCTGAGTGTCCCCTTCTTTCCACAGACAGTCGGAGCGACAGACTGGGAGCCGTTTCAGATCGACGGCAGGTTTTTCCTCGCCGTCGCCAACAGTCAGAAGATCCCTGATCGTGGCACGAGTGTCTACAGCATCAACTCCACCGTGTACGAACTGAACGCGCTCACACAGACCTTCATCCGCTTCCAGGACATCCTCACACACAGGTGAGCGTCACACCTGGGCTCATTTAACATGTCTTCAGATACACTTCCTGCTTTTACCTGCAGATTAAAGGAGCAGCACAAAGATTAAAGGCTGAATAACATTTATTTCAAAGTCACTGTGGAAACGTTGCTGATCATTAAAAGGAAGCCATCAGCACCGAGAAGCCTGATGTTTGTTTAAGGTTTCATTTGGAATTTTATTCATTCGTTTGAGATCTTTTACATTTTATTAAAAGACACATTTTAATAACTTTTCAACATTTTGTTCATAGTATTTTAGATCTTTATTAAATTATTTATATTTGCATTATTCGTTCTTTTTTATTATCACTTTTTGATGATTTTGTTAGTTTTTAATTTTTGGATATTTTATTTTATATTTATTTATTATTCCATAAATATTCGTAAATATTATGAACATAATTTTTTAATACATATTATTATATTTATATTAATTCATGTGCACATGTGTGTTAATTTATATTTATTATACTTCATAATATTTTGTGAGGATATTGCTCACCTTTCTTTTCCACTTTATTTTTTTTATTATTTTTGAACTGTAACAGTCATTTTTTGGACATTTTTGGGGATTTCTAAGCTTAGCTGTAGAAACATGTTATCTTTTTTTTCTTTGTTTTTCGGGACTTTCTTCAGTTAATTTAAGACCTGAAAACGTAAATATATTTTAAAGAAGAGGTTCATTGTAAAAATCCCAGAAACAGCTGCTCTTCACAGTGTGTCGTCTTGTTCTCCTCCTTCGTGTGTTCAGTGCGCTGGACTGGGAGTTTTTCACCATCGGAGATGAAAAGTTCCTGGTGGTGGCGAACTCTCACGACGGCGGCTCGTACTCTTTGAACAGCGTTGTCTACAGGTGCGTAAGTGCTCATCTGCTCAGGTGTGACGTGTTTCCTGAGCTCAGGTGACCTCTGTGTGTGATTTTAGGTGGCAGGGTTACGAGGGCTTCGTTCCTGTCCACAGCCTGCCCACGTTCGGCTGCAGAGACTGGGAGGACTTCAGCACGGACGAAGGCTCCTTCCTCATCTACTCCAGCGCCAAGTCCAGGCTCAGCAAGGTGTTCAAACTGAGGAACTACTGAGTGAAACCATCCTGGAGAGACTCCTCTGAGCTCATGTGATCATTCAGTGGACTCAACTTCCTGTGAGCTGAATCCTGAGTTCGTCCCGAGGAGAACATCATTTAAATCCAGCGATGAAAACCCCAAAGATTAAAGATCCAAAATGCTGTTTGGACATCGAGTCACATTAAGCTCTGCTGACGAGGACAGTGCCTCTCTGACCCTGTATGAGCCATAAACCTCAGAAATGAATCATCAGATGACTCAAAAATGAAAGTTGTCCAGTTTTAAGTCAGCTGATTACACTCAGAGAACCTCCCGTTTCCCTGAATCATGGACGTGAACATATCACTGAGACAATGAAACTTAAAAACAGACAGGTCTCAGCCTTCTTCAGATTTTCCACCAAGTGCTCAATAAGCACTCTAAACAAAAGAGCATCATTCACCCGGATACACG